CCGCCGCGCCATGAGCGCCCGGCTAAGTACCACTCCAGTCCGCGTACGGAATCCACGCGCGCTGCGCTCCATCGCGGCTTCGCGCAACACGCACCGAACGACATGTAAACACATTTTTTTTAAATCAAAACTCAGTGCAAAGGGATCAAGTGCCACACAAACAAAGTGTTTTAACCACCAAAAAGTTCTACAAGACTCAGTGCGAATTTTTCGACAACAGCGAACGGCATTTAAAAGTTTCAAATTTTACCGCCGTCGCGTAACGTGCTCGAAATTAAAGCGCTCCCAGGTAAATAATAAAATAAGTCAAGGCAATAACCATTACCCAAATATTTTACGGGCGACTTTACAAAGTCACAAAATGGAACTAAAGATTACTTTTAATGTGTACTGCCAACATTAATCAGAACTCTTATCACGCGACCTCGCTCTTTATAGCTCCATGACTCTTAATGTTAGCGTCTTTGTCTCCATTTTTGTCAAAATTACTTACACGCATGATATCTTTTATGTCCCTTTTGGGCATAATGAATGAAAAGATGCGAACTAGTTCCACTAAATCGCCATAGTTTTACGTTATTGCTTTCCTTTAATCTTTTACTGGCGCACATAATGCTAAGCTGGAAAAACTTTTTAATTAGGTATGTTTGTTAAATTCCTTTCTTGGCTTTTATGTGATTGTTAACTATTCCAGTTTTTACTGCAGACCTAATCAATTCGAAGGTGAAATCCGGCTATAAATTAAAATAATGATTTTCATTTATAACCGGCTTTCTATGTGGCTTGGCCACTGTGGCCATTTACTTTTTGATCGATTTTACATACTTCTATATGTCAGAGATACAATCAAAGCCGACAACAATATATGGTTCGTATTGTTTAATGATGACACTATCCGTTTGCTTTTTGTTTTGGTTACATTAAAGTGTAATAGGTTCTGTAAATTTTAACTACTAGCACGCATTTTTGAATTAATAATTGGATTGGTGAAATGAAATCACACATAGTTTACTTAAGATATTAAAAAAATCACAATAGAATACGTTTTTCACGATGTTCGTATAAAATCGGCTGAGTATAAAAATAGGCCGTTGCACCGCATTGCTGTCCTCAGTTTTCCACATTATTCTCTTTTCTTTGAGAAACGGTTTTATTTATTTATCCATAATCAATGCAACAGCCTTCGATATTATACACGTTTAAACTGGTTATTACAGTTGTGGTAAAACACAGTTTTGGTAGTATTTAACCTTCACATTAAGGGCTATATTTCACCGGGACACCATGGCGGCGCAACCAGTCGCCGGCTACCAACAAAACGTATACAGCTCTATAGAGAAATACCTACTCACCTGGTGTCCGTTTAGTTGCGCAAAGCTGCATACATTTTATTGGTAGCCGGCGACTGGTTGCGCCGCCATGGTGTCCCGTTGAAATATAGCCCTAATACGTTGGTTACAATCAACATATTTTGTATTTACTTACTATACCTATTATCTGACCCGACAGCGTTCAAATGTTTAAAAAGCACAGATACACATGCTCATTACTACTAGCACGAAAGCATGTCACTATTGAGCAATTGCTACTTAGTAGCATGTATGTCGAAACATTGCTAATAAATAAGCATGCAAAACCCCGAAAGCTTTCAGCTCGAGTTGCAAAATCGTTTCGAATGCCTAGGAGACTGCGAAAATGTGGACAAATACAATGACAGGTTCGTGGAAATTGTCCAAACGACTGGGTCTAAGTTCTTTAAAACCCGTCGTTCAAAAGGAACCAAAAAGATCTCTGACCTCACCAATCAACTCATGGAAGAGAGACGGAACTTGGTTCTGCAGTCCTCTGAAGATGCTGCTCAGTATCGGCGCCTTAACAGACAGATCTCCAAGTCTTTGACTCGCGACCTACGCCAATTTAATACAGACCGTATTAAAGAGGCGATTGAGCGAAACAAGGGCTCTAAAGTGTTCGCAAGAGATCTGTCTGTTGGCCAAAGTCAACTGACCAAGCTGAAGACAGAGGATGGCAGAGCCATTTCGTCGGGGCCGGAGATATTGGAAGAGGTCGAGAAGTTCTACGGACAATTATACACGAGTGTACGTGCACCTGTCACAAATCTAGCCGAAGACCCAAGAGCTAGACTGACCCGACACTATACCGAAGATATCCCGGACGTCAGTCTGTACGAGATTAGAATGGCTCTCAAACAGCTGAAGAACAACAAGGCACCGGGTGATGATGGAATCACGGCTGAGCTTTTGAAGGCAGGCGGAACGCCGGTACTGAGGGCTCTTCAGAAGCTGTTCAATTCCGTCATCCTCGAAGGGAAAACGCCTACGACATGGCACAGAAGTGTGGTGGTACTCTTCTTCAAAAAAGGTGACAAAACCTTATTGAAGAATTATAGACCCATCTCACTTCTGAGCCATGTCTACAAGCTGTTTTCAAGAGTCATTACGAATCGTCTCGCTCGCAGGCTCGACGACTTCCAGCCTCCCGAACAAGCCGGTTTCCGAAAAGGCTTTAGTACCATAGACCACATACATACGCTAAGGCAGATTATACAGAAGACCGAGGAGTATAATCAACCACTTTGCCTGGCGTTTGTGGATTATGAGAAAGCCTTCGATTCGGTCGAGACCTGGGCAGTGCTACAGTCTCTCCAAAGGTGCCAAATTGACTATCGATATATCGAAGTGTTGAGGGATTTGTACAAAAACGCCACAATGTCGGTCCGCCTCCAGGATCGGGATTCGAAACCTATCCAGTTGCAGCGAGGGGTAAGACAGGGAGACGTCATATCTCCAAAACTGTTTACCACCGCCCTGGAAGATGTCTTCAAGCTTCTGGACTGGAACGGATTTGGCATAAATATCAACGGCGAGTACATCACCCACCTTCGATTCGCGGACGATATCGTAGTCATGGCTGAGACCTTGGAGGATCTAGGCACAATGCTCGATGGCCTCAGTAGAGCCTCTCAACAAGTGGGCCTCAGAATGAACATGGACAAGACAAAAATCATGTCTAATGTCCGTGTTGCACCCACTCCTCTGAAGGTTGGAGACTCTACACTCGAAGTTGTCGACAATTATGTATACCTGGGACAAACAGTCCAGTTAGGTAGGTCCAACTTCGAGAAAGAGGTCAATCGTCGAATCCAACTCGGATGGGCAGCGTTCGGGAAGCTTCGCCATATACTCATGTCCGAAATACCGCAGTGTCTCAAGACGAAAGTCTTCGAGCAGTGTGTGTTGCCAGTGTTGACATATGGATCCGAAACGTGGTCGCTTACTATGGGCCTCATAAGAAGGCTCAAGGTCACCCAAAGGGCGATGGAGCGGGCTATGCTCGGAGTTTCCCTGCGTGATCGAATCAGAAATGAGGAGATCCGTAGGAGAACCAAAGTAACCGACATAGCTCGCAGAATTGCTAAAATCAAGTGGCAGTGGGCGGGGCACATAGCTCGTAGAGACGATGGCCGTTGGGGCAGGAAAGTTCTCGAGTGGCGACCACGGGCTGGAAAACGTAGCGTGGGCAGGCCTCCTACTAGGTGGACCGACGATCTGGTAAAGGTCGCGGGAAGAGCCTGGATGCGGGCAGCGCAGGACCGTTCATTGTGGAAAACCTTGGGGGAGGCCTTTGTCCAGCAGTGGACGTCATTTGGCTGAAACGAAGCATGCACATTTCGACTTGTTCGAGCACGCCTGTTTTAAGCATGCTAATAAGCATGTCATTTTTAAGCATGTGTATTAACTCTTTGCTAGCCCGTTCCTTGAGGGAATCCTACTAACATTATATTGCGTGTAAGGATGTATGGATGTGAATGCAAAAACTACTGAACGGAAACCTTACAGTATTACTATTTATACGAGTACTTACATCAAAATAACACACTTAAAGGCTTGATCTGTAATTTAATAGCTTAGGCTGAGTTGCAACATCTAACTTTAACGGTAACTATGACGATAACCGGTGCATTTTGTACGGAGTTAGTCAGATTTTTGACGTTTGTCAAAGTTAAAGTAAGATGGTGCAACCCAGCATTCAATTATTTTTGACGGGCTAAATTTCGGGTTGAGTTCATTCTGAAAGCGATCTTCACTTATTTGACTTAGGTCAGTTGGGAGATGCCGCGGGCATAATTCTATTGTCCGGCACAGAGTGACAGGGATATAACCCCTTATTTGGCCTACTATTATGATGACAGCATCCTTATCTCTTACCAATTTATTAGAATTACTAGCTGACCCAGCAAATGTTTTTTTGCAGGGGTGGAAATTGTTAACGTCCTATTCTCAGACCTACTGAATATACGCATTAATCTCAGGAACTAATGGTCCGATTAAAAAAAAACCTTTTGTGTTGGATAGTTTATTTATCGAGCTNACGTAAGTGTAACTTTTACGGTGGATTTTTCTGTATATTCAATAGACTGTAATTCTACTAACGTTATACCATTAAATCTGATTTTTATGTATAATATTTGGACAATAATTAGAAGTATTTTCCCCAACAGCCAGACAGTTTTGACAGTTCCAACTCCTTGCCAGACAGTTTTTTTAGGGTAGCTCCCAAAGCCACCACGACCCAAACTTCATAATTCACCAACATTATATCCTACTAGCTTTCCGCCCGCGGCTTCGCCCGCGTGGAATTTTGTCTGTCACAGAAAAACTTTATCGCGCGCGTCCCTGTTTCAAAAACCGGGATAAAAACTATCCTATGTTCTTTCCCGGGACTCAAACTATCTCTATGCCAAATTTCATCAAAATCGGTTGCGAGGTTTAAGCGGGAAAGCGTAACAGACAGACAGACAGACAGAGTTACTTTCGCATTTATAATATTAGTTGGGATATTGGGAGCATACGCTGACAAACTTTCAGCTTTTATAAAATGACGTAGGTCTGGCGTTCACTAGCTCTTAGTCTAAAATACATGTGAGGATTTATGCGTTCTATTCCATTACCAGTGTGCAGTGCGCCTTACTCTAGGAATTATTTTGTAACCTTTTTAAGATCTTCGAGCTGGATCTTGAGCTGTGTGACGTCCTGATGCGTGCGGCGCCAGTACCCGGGTGACGCAGCCCCACTGTTCGCAGTCGGCGCAGGATTGATAGTTGGAGACTTCACCAGACAAGGGTACACCGCAGCTACGGAGAAAAGATGCGTTACTTTAAACTTTGTGGTTAGATAGACCCCGATTTGAACTTCATAGTCGGAATCAGAAGATACTGTAGAAAACCAAGGAATTTTTACCACTTCAGCACGCCGCATAAGACAATACACAAGGTTTAAGTAATTCCTGTAACATTTCCTACTCTATTTTTTATAAACCAACTTTATTTTCCAGTACAATTAGCTCAACAATATTTGCGTGTGCACACCAGAAAATAATTATCTTTTCAGTGACAGTTCCGACTTCCGGTATATTTACAGAATAATTGCATGTTGTTTATCAGATTGAGTATTTATAAAAATAGATGTTTGGTACCTGTCTTATTCTACTTCTTTATTCATTCTTAGGTTTAATACTTTCAAGCACTCTTTGTCTTAAACAAAATAGCAACTAAGGAATATTAAAATGAAGGAATATATTATTCAACTCGCTAAATAAACGTTATTTTAAGATCTCGTGGGAGACCACCCAAGCGTTTTTTTAAAAGTTGGTACAATACAAAACACACCATAGAAAGTTACTCCATTAGTTTGCAAATATATTCCAGGCTAAAATCAAATTTACCTGGTCGTGGTCTACATTCGCAGGGCGGTGGACCGGTCCGAACAATCTCCTTTGCTTTAGCCGTGAGTTGCTCTGCTCGCTCCTGGAACAGTTGCTCGGCGAGCTTGCACGCGAGCTTTTGAGCTCGCCGTTCGAGAGCTCGCTCTTGCCAGCCTTCAGTTTCTGGACCACCTCGGTCTGGTATGATTCGTGCTGCGTCCGCACAAGATGCTCCTACCCACTGCGGTTTAAAAGACACCAATGTAGAAAACGAACGAAGAAAATGTTTATTACTAGACATATTCTATTTACCATGTCTTGTAACTTCCCTCCCAATAAATAACAACAAAAAAGGCAATAAACTTTTCAGATAGGTATAAACCTCATTCTGGCGTAATCGGGTAAAAAAGATGCAGAGTCAAAAGATATGTATCTACTTTTTTTATAGTACTATTAACTCTTTTTGCTATAAACGATGCAAAACTAGACCTTGCTTCCACTATCTTTTCTCTACTTTTTCCTTCTTGCCACTTACCCTTGCGTGGTATTTCTCGATAGACGTAGCAATAGCAATATCCAACTCTCCGATCAGCAGCTGAGAGAAATAATTCCGGAGGTTAGTCTTGATGATTGAAGATTTGTCCCAGTTGTGCCTGTCTTCCAGACACTTTAGCAGCTGGCACGGCATCTCCGACGTGCAGCCTCCTAGTTCGGACTGCAGGCCGCCGAACAAGTCCGCCAACAAGTTCGACAGGAGAGTGGTGCGCAGGGACGTGCATGAACATGAATCCTGAAAATGAAGGGTAGAGAATTTGATAATACATACTTCGAAGTCTTCCTAAAATTGAAGGGGAATTTCATTGGCAGCCAAACTATAGATTTCCTGACTATACAAGTAGAAGTTGCAGTGGTAAGAAAGAGAGATGGAATGTCCCGTATGGATTAAGGACCTGCATAGACTTTCAGACAGTTCGTATTGTAGTCACGAAGACCACTAACTATATTTTAGTTTAATGGTACATTTAAGCGGTCCGTTTTAAACGGGGTTATGCAGTTCAACAACTATTCAACGCTTACATTATTAGAGAATTTTTAAACGAATTTACTAAATTCATTTTCCAAATCCAACAACATACCAAGAACTTATCTTCAGGACTGCATTTGCACAATGCCGCCAGGGAGGGGGTTCTCTTTGCCTCCACTGAGGCGTCTACTGGCATTTTGCACTGGCACTCCATCACTTGGTCCTTAAGTTCATTCAGCTGGTCTCTCTTCTTCTTCAGGTCGTCCATTTTCCCCTGGATTTTGCCATCGCACAGGACTTTGCAGCCGTCTAGGTCTTCCACCATTTCTAGCTTTTCTTGCCGTAGTAGATCCATCTATAGATTAAGTATTAATTATACGTATACTATATTAATTACTAGCTTTCCGCCCGCGGCTTCGCCCGCGTGGAATTTTGTCTGTCACAGAAAAACTTTATCGCGGCGTCCCTGTTTCAAAAACCGGGATAAAGACTATCCTATGTCCTTTCTCGGAACTCAAACTACATCTATGCCAACTTTCATCAAAATCGGTTCAGTGGTTTAGGCGTGAAAGCGAGACAGACAGACAAACAGACATAGTTACTTTCGCATTTATAATCTACTAGCTGACCCGGCGAACTTTGTTCCGCCTTAATGGCAATAAGCAGATTTTTTTTTAATTTCGAACGGGATAAAAAGTATCCTATGTCCTTCTCCTGGCTCTAAACTACCTCCCTGACAATTTTCAGCTAAATCGGTTCAGCCGTTCTTGAGTTATAAGTGGAGTAACTAACACGACTTTCTTTTATATATGTTACACTTTTACACCGTGTTACTTTGCATTCTTGCCATATTCACAGAGATAAAAGTAGGGAACAATACCTATTATTTAAGATAAACAAGAGACTCCCATAAAGAAAGTACACTGAGTTTTTAGTAAATTTGATTTTGCAGTACAAATTGGAATAAACCAATTTTGTCTCGCACTTTCTACAGGTGCAAGTGGAATAAACCTAGTGGGCGTGGCCTAGTTCTTATTAATCTGTGACGTTTTATGGCTCTGGGTACCAGCCTTTTTATCCAGTCATAATAATTATTTTAAAATACTCTTCAGTTGATTTTAGATTTTCCTTTCTACTCTCAGTTTCTACTTTACGGGCTTAGGACCGTCAAAAATACGTAATAGTTATTAGGCTTTTAATTAATTTATAACATTGTTCCCTATTTTTACAAATTAATAAATTTCATACTTATGAAATGAAATCACCTTATTCACAATTAATTATTTATTTATGAGTTCCTACTTACAAAGTTTACGTACTGCGAAGCAAGTGTTCGAAGTGTCCTCCGTTCTGATGAAGGCAAAGTCTAGCACGGCGAAGCGTAGGTATATCGCTTTAGTTTTCGCAACACATAAACGTTTTGTCTCACAGTTTCGCTGAAACAATCCGTTCACGTAACACGTTAACACTTTTTATCTCTTCTGCGCATACCAGGTCGTTTCAAGTCACTCCAAAAATAATAGTCCATTGGTGTTAGGTCCGAGGATCGTGGTGGCCAAGCTACTGGACCCCCTCGTCCAATCCACTGTTCACCAAACGTATTATTTGCGCACTTGACGTCCTTATTGTGGGGGAGCACCATCCTGCTGGTAGTAGAGCATTTGGTGTAACGCCTCAGAATACGGAACAAACCAGAAACCGTAAATGTGTATTCATATAAATTACTCCAAATCGCACTAATTTGCCTTTCGAGCAATTAGTCAATGGCCGGCGCGCGCATTTTTTTTTTTTTTTATCCACAACGAGGAAGCTCTTTTTTACATATCCGTCAGATTGACACTTTATAATTAAATTATGCCGTCTTGTGCCGTTCCAACATGTAAGAATGCTACTGGAATTACGAAGAAAGTGCATGGGATCATGTTTTATCCGTAAGTAGCACATTTCCTATTCATTTTAATAAAATAATAATTTTCAAAAAAAATCATGGTTGTATTTTGTAAGTGTTGCCGCAGGTCAACGGAATATTTTACCCTACTTTTTTATATTGAATTACATTTGTCTATAAAAAAATTCACGCGTTAATTTTGTTAGCGTTACCACAGAATAATGGAATATTTTCCCCATCCTTTTTGTTTTAATTAGTTTTGTGTAATTTCATCCATGACATGACAACCTGATTATTTAAATTATAAGTGCCACTTGTGGTCTAAACTGAGTAAATATTTTTGATTTTGATTTGATTTCAATATATTGAATTAATTTATAATATTACTCCCTAATAATGAGGAGATAATAAACTACTATCGTGAATTTCATACTTTCCCATTTATTTAAAAGTAAGGCATTGGTATCAACAGATCAGCAGCAGCAATATTTGTATATTTAATAATAATTTTAAGTAATTAATTATTGCTTACATACTTTGATTATCTTTCAGGATACACAGCCAGAGTTGCCTCGCAATCAAATTCAAACGCAAGTATTGGTGATTTTTTTGATTTGGATTCTGTTTTTGACTCCAAGAAAAGTTAAACTAAAAGCACTACTGCGCCGTAAACAAATGTTTTGTTGTCGATATGTTTACATAATAAAGAACCTTAAGTTTCCTTTTTGTTTTACTTGGCATTCTAAAATTTATATTCGTCTTTTGTAATTGACTTTTAAATAACATATTATTATACCTACATGTAGTATATTACACTATTTAATAGAAATAAATAATCATCTACACTTAGTTACTTCGGAGTAAAAATTAAATTCATAGGTAGGTACTATCTATATAGCCATAGGCCAGTCATGTCGTCTCGTTCTATCGCAAAGAATCACCATTTGATAAGATCGAGAGCAAAAACGGAAATGGATAGTTAACACTGGCCGTGTGTACTTATTTAACTTACTTATTTTTTACTTGTTTAACATCTCTTTAAAAAATTACATAATTTTACCCCAAAAATGGGGGTGTCACAGGGCGCTAGTAACACTAAAGGGGGTAGAGGGGCGTGGGAGGGGAAGTATTTTGGACACAAGTTGCCGCGTAGAAATGTTATCGAACACTCCTTCTGGTTTGTTCTGTATTCTGAGTGTAACGCTAAGGGTACGTCATCAAGCATTTCGTTTAAGACGTCTTGCAGACACTCCAAGCACCATTTTGATTAAATTATTCGTTGTTTGAATACACTTCAGTCATTTTTGTATTATTTATAACGTGATTTGTGATTGATAGATTTCTCAGTTTTTTACAAAAGTGTCAAAAAGACATTTTAAAGACAAATAAATTGCAATAGACCTATTTAAAAATACAATAAAAAGTAAAAAAGTCTCCATCGCCGTCGCTAACAAGTGATGTGCATGCGTTACGATAGTTAGTGATGTGTTTAACAGATTGTCGATAAAATAAAATATTCAAAATTAAAAATCTAAATTTTCGGGCATTATTTTTTAACGGATTTGTGTTCAGTATCAGTAATATAGTTACATCTGTAAATATGGCAAGAATGCAAAGTAACACCCTGTATAGATAAAAATAAAATGAATTGCTGTTCGTTAGTCTGATTAAAACTCGAGAACGGCTGGACCGATTGAGCTGATTTTGGTTATAAAATGTTTGTTGTAGTCCAGGGTAGGTAAACGGTGAGCAAATAAGGAAAAATTGCGATGGCTTATTTATTGCCTTTAAGGCGGAACAGAGTGCGCCGGGTCAGCTAGTATTAGTAGATATAGATAATATAGAGTGACAAAATAGGGTGACCACCAGAACATTCGGACAGAAAAGAATTTTAAAAATATTGTTTTGTGGGCATGTAATGCTCATACTAATAACCGTGCTACTACGCCATAATAAAGGTTGAAATAAATAACTAATTAAAATATAATATTGTAATGAAACAATGATTAACATCTTGATTGACTTGATTATTGCTTACAATACTGCTGTTATTTACACAATTAAAGCTGAGCCTGGTGCGATTGCACACATAAGCCTGTAAGAACTGCTTCATACTTTTCTAATTTAAGGCATTTTCCATATACATATTTTAAAGCTTAATACGATTGGTCATCCTGTGCTATTTTAAATCCGTGCCCAACGTGAGGCATGTTAACATACATATTTTGATGAAAAATACGATTCGTCATCCCTTGCCATTTTACGTCAATCCTAACAAAAAGAAGCACGTTTTCTTTATGCATATTTTAACGCATAATACGATTCGTCTTGAATTGTCGTTTAATAAATATTATTATTTCATCTGTACACAGAGATGTGAAAACGCATAAAAAGAGCCCTTATTTGTGAAAAGAAGACAACTTAAAATTTTTTAACGCCTAGGATCTGGGTATGCAACAGTAAACAATTTAAGGCGCTACATTTTTTATTTTTCAGGAAGATTTTACATACTAAATGAAAACAAAATAAGGATAATTATAGGTACGCTAGGATGATGTAACGTTTTACAACTATTCACTACTTTAATACAAGTAATGCTTAGTAGGAACGTTATAGTAAAGTGTATGATAAATAAAACATGATTTTGTAATCCAAATAATGATTAAGAGACAAAAAACCGACACAAAATTACAGAATACATACCTACTGACTCCGTTAAAATTACTGCGCAAATATTGTAAAATTATTTATTTATAACTCTCGTAAAAAAAGTAACACAAAAACCCTGTGTGATTTTTAGTAGCAAAACCAGCTGCGTGTGTTTCGGCCTTCAATTAAGTGGTACATTATTATACTGTGGTCGGTCATACGGAGATCCGCGCTTGGTAACACTAGTTAAAAATTTGAATTTGAATTATCTTTGTTCCTGACAAGGAAATTCAAAATTACGGCCAGACTACTTCTTATATTATGTACTGTAATTTAATTATAGCATTTATGTACTTAGTAGCACGAATTATTTTATCTAAAGATGTAGAACATTCATCGTCATTTTAAAACGGATATTTAACAACAATAACTTCTCCAAGAAGCAAAGGCTGCAGCTTTATAAAGAACAGATCCGACCTTGCATGGAATACTGCTGCCACCTCTGGGACGGCTCTGCCAAGAAACATTTGGCTGCTTTGGATTCGGTGGAAAGGCGAGCCAGAAGACTTATCGACAGCCCTACCCTTGTTGAAGCGGCGCTCCAGGAACTTGACCATCGCCGTAAGGTAGCATCCCTATCGGTTTTCTACAGGCTACACTTCGGAGAGTGTGAAGGCGAGAGTGAATAAGCACTTACAGGGCAGATATGTACCATCCTAGACTGCATCCCACTTAACAACAGGTGCGATTGTGGCCAAATACCTGCCTTGTTATGCATAAAAAAAAATAAAAAAAAAACATAACGGATATGTAAAAATAAAAATGGAACTTTACTCACTTCTTCTTTGATCTGCCCAATTTCGGCGTCTTCTTCCAGAAGCTGGTGGGAGACCTTTGTGACCTGTTGCCGTAGGGCACTGAGCTCCGCGTGCATCGCGCGCTCGGCTTCGCACGTGAGCGCGCGAACTGACTCCAGCTCGCTTTCCATCGCCTGCACTTTGCGGCGAGTTTGCTCTTCTTTGAACTAAAGTGAAGTTATTCATTTAAAAATTTCATTACTCTTGCTATTACTTCAACCAGTTAATTTTGTTTTTATAGCGTCGAGCTTTTAAAGATAAGCTTTGAGTCAAAATTTCGTGATGTTGGTTAAAGCAAACAAACGGTTCAGTTAATCACATGTAACTGTCTTGCTCATAAATGTTTGGGCACGTCTTCCAGTCAATAAAGGTTCGCCGACCCAAATAATATTTGCCTAATCTGATAGTCCCTACACATCTATGAAGCCTTCTTTATTGCTCCTAGTCTGGATCTTTCTTTAACAAATTCAGTGGCCGTAAATCTGATTAGAACTATCTATGTCTCCGTGGCACGATATTATTCCGCACGGGAATGCAAATAGCAGTAAAAAAAGGTTCTCACTATCCAAATATCATTTTCCTCACCTGATAATCCCTCGATCCGCATCAAGCCTTGTAGACATCTCGTTCTCAGCGATCTCGCCTCGCTCGCGCAACTGTTGCGTTAATGATGTACATCTACCCACCTGATAATCCCTATCCACCTGCGCCGCCTTGCACTGTTGCTCAGCTAGCGCCGCGTCCAGCCTGGCAGCCTCCTCGCTGACGCGCAGCCGCATGCAGGCGTTCTCGCACAACTCCTTCTCAACTTCTGTGAGCCGCGCGCGCTCCTTTTCAGTGATCTCGTACTGCTTGAGCAACTGTTGTGCTAGTGATATGCATCTACCCACCTGATAATCCCTATCCACTTGCGCCGCCTTGCACTGTTGCTCAGCTAGCGCCGCATCCAGGCTGGCAGCCTCCTCGCTGACGCGCAGCCGCATGCAGGCGTTCTCGCACAACTCCTTCTCAACTTCTGTGAGCCGCGCGCACTCCTTCTCGGCGATCTCGCCGCGCTCGCGCAACTGTTGCGCTAGTAATGTACATCTACCCACCTGATAATCCCTATCCACCTGCGCCGCCTTGCACTGTTGCTCAGCTAGCGCCGCGTCCAGCCTGGCAGCCTCCTCGCTGACGCGCAGCCGCATGCAGGCGTTCTCGCACAGCTCCTTCTCAACTTCTGTGAGCCGCGCGCGCTCTTTCTCTGCGATCTCGCCGCGCTCACGCAACTGTTGCGCTAGTGATGTGCAAGCGTTCTTGTATCCGTTTCGTTCTTCAATTAGCTTCTTCATCTGTAAAATTTTAAAACTATTCGATTGCTAGTTTATTGGCTGAAATCTATAATTATATTTTTTTAATGCGTGAAAATAATAGTTCATACATTCCTGACAATATGCATAACCATTATTGAATTTTAGGTATTACCAGTTTTAACGTGATTATTATTACTCTTTAAACAATCGCTTAAACAATGAATTGAATAGGGTCAAACTATTGAGTTGCAATGTCACGGTTAAATAAAAAAACTAAAGCCTGGTCCGTGAGCACGTAGAATTTTGTCCAATGACCCCAAGCTACCCAACCTTATCGCTCGCGCATAATTATGTTGCTGTCGCGCTCGCACACTCACTGCGGGCGCGCGTCGCACAGTCGCGACAGCAATATAATTACGCGCAAGCGATAAGGATGGGTAGCTTGGGGTCATTGGACAAAATTCTACGTGCTCACGGACCAGGCTTTACACACAAACATAACCACATTCTCGAAATTAACTACTAAATTATGCGTCAGTAAAAATAACTTGTCGTTCATTTATGTTCATGAATTAATCTCCCAACAATGTAGGTATCTAATCTAAATACATTTTGTGCATCGATGAGTTTCGCTTCATTATGAAATGAAAAATTATGTAAGTTTTTGGGCTTACACTGTCCAAGCATGCGACACCAAGAGGAAAATGTCATAGTCACCCGACTATGACATTTTCCTCTTGGTGTCGCATGGGTCTCTATGCCTTCGTGAACACTTCGTGCACTTTTTATTTTATTTTCGGTTGTTTTGGATCGGATTAGTCCATCCATAGTAAATTGATAAAAGCCTTCCAAGCCGCCTCCGCTCGCTCCAGTAACTCGACCCTCTCGGCTTCCCTCCAGACCAGGTTAGTTATTAATAGGAAATCAAACGCTTACATGTTTGGTTATGTCCTCTTCCTTCTCTTCAGTGAGGCCCAGCCGACGCTGGTAGCTAACCTCCAGGTCCTTCTAAGCCGCTTCTGCACGCTCCAGCAACTCAACCCTCTCGACTTCCCGCTGGGCCAGGTTAGTTATTAATAGGAAATCAAACGCTAACATGTTTAGTCATGTCCTCCTCCTTCTCCTCAGCGAGGGCCAGCCGCCGCTGGTAGCCAAGCTCCAGGTCCTTCCAGGCAGCCTCTGCTCGCTCCAGCAGCTCGACCCTCTCGGCTTCCCGCCTGGCCAGGCGTTCGGCACGTAGACGCAGCTCCGTCGTCGCTTTGTCGAGCTGAGTTAGCTTCTCCATGCACGCTGATTCCATGCAGCAAGCCTGGAGACAATGGGGATTGAAATAGTTAAATGTGGGTTGTATCAAAGAGTTAGGAAAATGGCCACTTCGTTTTTGTAGGCTTCGTTTCGATCATTCTGCTCTCAGCAACAGATATGATTTCTAAACTATAGGAGACAAACAAGTATGTTTTAATCACAATCTCTAGATCTCAACTTTCGTACAAACTGATGATAGCCTTTAGATCCTCCTCTCTGTCCTGTCGCAAAACCCGTTCTTATTTTGATTACCTACGTCTTTTGATTCTTAACTATTAACTAAGTAAGTACCTCACTGCCAAACTTCATAGGTCAAGTACTTTTCGAGATTTCGAGTTTAGACAGGGAGTGAATGAATGACCTTTGAGATTAATTTATACAGACAGTTTCCCGCACACAGTGGGCATAATTAGGTAATACACACATTTCTATTGTAAAACAATGAATATCGATCTGAGAAATTTTCCATTACTATGATGGAGATAATTAGTTTTCCAGAATCCCTTAGGTAAGATAAATGATAATAATACGTTAGTACCCTTTCGGTAGCGATACCAGAATTGTTGCTCTTAAGTTTAGAACTTTATACATATGAATTAGGTAAGGCTCACAACAATGGAAAATATTTTCTCTAAAACCCTTAATATGAACATAACTCTAGGTACTCACAGCATCGATTTTGTTCTTTAAATCCTTGTCAGGTGGTTTCCTACGCGCGGGACGCGAGCAAGCATTGTTGTCCAGGCGCATCACGATCTTCGTTTCCACCGGCAGCTTCACCACGGGTCCCATGAGCGATGCCGACTCGAAACTACTCGAACCAACTCCCTTCGAGAACTTAGAATCCTCATAACTAATAAAACTCCCCGGACAGAGCTCTGGCTTTCGTGTCTGATTCATTTTCTCCACGCACATCTTTTCAGGAGATTCCTTGCGCTTCGATTCCACGAACCTGAAAATGACATTGACACACATCAATCATCATTAATATGAATGCTAGGTATAATTAGAAAAGTCTAATAATTCCTGTCCTCACTTTTCAAGTTAATTAGAAACTTTGAACACTGGACCCGCATATACGAGTGTTGAGGATATTTGCATGTAATTATAGCATTAGACCTGCATTACCGCAAATGAAATTATTAGAATCGAGTATTCAACATACTTCCGATTACATCGCCATTCAGTGCGCAGGTCGTACACAAGTGATTCAGTTTATCAAGTCCGTTTAATAGGCAATTATTACCGTTTTATAGCCTCGCTACAAACTTGTCACAGGCGCAATATAAACCACGAGAGAGAAAAAAAAACAATTACTTGTTAAAACAATATTTAATTCATACCAGAGATGAGCTGTAATTTACCGCATCGTACAAACACGTGATTTCACAAAGTTATCGTCATCTATAAGTAAATAAGTATAAAAATATTAAAAGATGTACCGTTTCAAACTTTCATTATTGCTATATGTATTCAAATAGAAATAATCATAGTAAAGGAATTCCTTTGGCCAAAAGCCTCGATCTAGTATCGAAGTGGAAATTTTTGGAGAATGCCTTAAAAGGTTGAAAAAAAACATAAATAAGGGTCGTCGAAAATTGGCAATAAACTAGATACAGGTAGGTAATCGGAAACAAGATAGCTTTATAATTTAAAAAAAAAATTTAGCACGGAGCCTTTAAAAATTTTACGGACTTTACTTCTATGGATTTTTCGGACTTTACTTCTACGAGTTTTTCAAATCACAATACTAATTATTACGAAGATCCTCAAAAGATTTAATCTATGTTGCTAATCTATTATTGTTATTAGTATAATACCATACCATTGAATATATTTAAACTATACATGTACCTACTTAATTGACCCTAGAGCTAATGATACATAGATTATGCTGAGTACAGACAGGATTGCTCATAAAAAGTGTTCCAAAGATGGACGTACTGATACAAGCTGTCGACGTCGCTGTGGCCGAGCTGTTGCCATGCCAGCAGCGCGCACGCCAGGTACTGCTGCTCCGAGCTCTGGGCCGAAAGTGCGTTCCCCGCGTCGTGGGCCAGACGCTCCTGCGTTGCTTTTATCGCCGTCTGCGTTTATTAGGGATGATACACACAGGAATAAGACATAGAGTTACAGGATTTACAGAATGTAAAGTAGTGAATATTCCCACAGTTAATTTCAAGTTTTATTAGTAAGAAAGTGGTGGAATTTTCCTACAGAAAATCACTGTCGTAATTTTGTGACGTGAAAAATATAAAAGCTATTTTCAGGGTTCTTAGTTTAAAAGTTTCCTCCAATAATATTCTCAAAACTTGATTAATATTTGTGTAAGACTATGTCATGACTCTATTTGGTTTCCGGGGGATCAGTATAGGAAGCCCACTGTCCAAATCGTCTATTTCACACCATCTATATACACCGTGTTACTTTGCATTCTTGCCATATTCACAGAGATAAAAGTAGGTAACAATACCTATTATTTAAGATAAACAAGAGACTCCCATAAAGAAAGTACACTAAGATTTTAGTAAATTTGGTTTTTCAGTACAAATTGGAATAAACCAATTTTGTCTCGCACGTTCTACAGGTGCAAGTGGAATAAACCTAGTGGGCGTGGCCTAGTTCTTAATTTTATGGCTTTGGGTACCAGCCTTTTTATCCAGTCATAATAACTATTTTAAAATACTCTTCAGTTGATTTCAGATTTTCCTTTCTACTTTACGGGCTTAGGACCGTCAAAAATACGTAATAATTAATAGGGTTTCAATTAATTTACAACATTGTACCCTATTTTTACAAATTAATAAATTAAGTATGAAATGAAATCACCTTATTCACAATTAATTATTTATTCATAAGTTCCTACTTACAAAGTTTACGTACTGCGAAGCAAGTGTTCAAAGTGTCCTCCGTTCTGATGAAGGCACAGTCTAGCACGGCGAAGCGTAGGTTTTTCGCTTTAGTTTTCGCAACACATAAACGTTTTGTATCACAGTTTCACTAAAACAATCCTTTCATGTAACGCGTTTACACTGTTTATCTCTTCTGCGCATACCAGTCGTTTCAAGTCACTCCAAAAATCCATTGGTGTCAGGTCCGAGGATCGTGGTGGCCAAGCTACTGGACCCCTCGTCCAATCCACTGTTCACCAAACGTATTATTCGCGCACTTGACGTCCTTATTGTGGGGGAGCACCATCCTGCTGGTAGTAGAGCATTTGGTGTAACGCTAAGGGTACGTCATCAAGCATTTCGTCTAAGACGTCTTGCAGACACTCCAAGCACCATTTTGATTAAATTATTCGTTGTTTGAATAGACTTCAGTCATTTTTGTATTATTTATAACGTGATTTGTGTTTGATGGATTTCTCAGTTTTTTACAAGACATTTTAAAGACAATAATTGCAATAGATATTTAAAAATACAATAAAAAGTAAAAAAGTCTCCATCGCCATCGCCAACAAGTGATGTGCATGCGTTACGATAATTAGTGGTGTGTTTAACAGATTGTCGATAAAATAAAATACTCAAGATTAAAAAAAAATTTTTTCGGTCATTATTTTTTTACGGATTTGTGTTCAGTATCAGTAATATAGTAACCTCTGTAAATATGGCAAGAATGCAAAGTAACACCCTGTATATAAAAGAAAGTCGTGTTAGTTACTTCGCTTATAACTCAAGAACGGCTGAACCGATTTAGCTGAAAATTGTCCGGGAGGTAGTTTAGAGCCAGGAGAAGGACATAGGATACTTTTTATCCCGTTCGAAATTAAAAAAAGTGTGCTTATTTATTGCCATTAAGGCGGAACAAAGTTCGCCGGGTCAGCTAGTACCTGATAAAGCAAGCCATCTGGTTATCGTTTTGAGAAAGAAACGGCAAAAACCAATATTAAAAACGTTTTGAAGAATACCTCTGAAATACAGCTGTTAAAAGTAAACGGTTCTCGTGCTAAAACGACAATGACACACATAGGTATTTTTGTTCGACCATTAAACTCGATTGTAACAAATAAAATGAAAAACCATCGTTGTACAACTATTAAAATCAATATAAAACAATAAGTCCTGATTGCAAGCGCTACTCGCGTGCAGATATACATCGATAATACCTAGGTATTGTAAAACTATGCCGCACAAATGAATCGTTACAGCGATAAATAACCCCGTCATTTCATTATTTAAGATCCATCGTTTGATATAGGAACTCTATAAATGCAGCAATTGCGGTTAACTGTCGTGCATTATTGGAAAAATATGTAGGTTTATTAATATAATTCAAAAATGACGTTCATTGACGTCATATTTGCTTGTTTTAAATCAATTTTGCAGCGTTTATCAGAATTACTACGAGTATGTACGTATGGCCTATCTTATAAACTTTCCTTAGACTATTTATTAATGTTATGGTCATGGTCATGAGACCTAATTTATTTATCTATCATCATGACTCTATAAAATCTTCTGTACGAATAAAAATGATATCATACACCAACCTTTAAATCAATGTTAGGATTCGCTTCGACAGCTTTCGTTATATTCCACATTATAAGAGTGCCCATAGACGTCTGCTGTCTGACCCCAGACGAAGTAGCATCGTTCAGAGTTTGTTTATGAATCTATAAAACAATGGCATAAATTAATCACAGTCATACAATAAAATCTAACCTCCAGGCGGGATTATAGACCAGTTATGCAAGCGGTGAAGTTAAGCAAAACTAGCCACTATTGATAGTGTAGTAAAGTTGACAATATTTAAAGCAAAAAGAAAAGAAATAAATGAGTATTGAACACGAAAATAATAATATGGACATAGATTAAATATTATCAATCAATAAAGTAAGCTAGTCGGATTCGCCAGCTCATGGTTCTGTATCCTCACTCTATCTCTACTACATCCAAAAAATTCCTTTGTCTTTGCTGCGAGATCTTGTGACTTGCCAAATTTCAAGCTTCTAGGTTAACGGGAAGTATCTACCCAATAGGTTTTGATTTGATTTACTAGCAAGTATCTACTCTCATTTATGTGCAGTTTAAAGCGGCATTTCTGAATTCATTAGCTTAGGAGCCTTTTTTTACAATAGGGTTCAAATACGGTCAAATTGGCGTTTAGTTAACTGCCACCAGTCAATTAATCCAGAATGAATATATAATATGGTAACGTATAACCTATCCACCTCAGCTGGAAGCAGGCTAAGCCCTGAAGGTTTATTTTCCTCTGCTTTCTCAGTGGTATATTCGTATAAGCATTCTTGCCTTCTTCCTCGTGTGAGTTACTACCAGGCACCCAATACCAATAGATAAATGACAAATTGAGCTGAGTTACTTTATTAACGGTTACGGCCTAAAGCCGAAACTCTATTGGACTTCAGCCTTCTGAAGCAAAGAATCGTATTGTTTTCAAACAATTCAAGCCTTCAATGTTTATTACTACACAACCCATTATTTATGCAGAATATTATTTTACTATACATCTATCTAGGCATCGACCCTAGAACGATAAAACCGTTACATAACCGAACCCTTAGTCATTGTGCAGTAGGATAAAGAGATTATGGGCTAGATCAACATTATTTTAATAATACATAACATTATTTTACCTGATCCATAATAAGTGCTCAAGTGCCCACGGAACCACTTTTTATATAATTTTCCCCGAAAGAGTAAAGTAGAACATAATCTTGTAAATTACAATAATTTAATATCGTGTAAAATATTGAACATACAAATCATTGAAATTTTACAAGCATTTTTTTCCAATTTTTTTGACAATGACGTAAAAGACTTTTTAAAATGATCTTGCAGGCTTGCAAGAATTTGTAGAACTGCCATTCATTATTTCATAAACAATACGAAGAGTGGAGACTGTAGGTGAAAAGGAGTCGGTATTAAATTCTTCGACATACCAAACTTCAGTCTCCTAATTTTTAATTTATATAGAGCTCCAAAATTGGAAATGACAAAGCGCAAAGTAGGGATTAAATGTAAAATAATAAGGATAAGTTCTAGACTCGAGTATTTCGAAAAACGCGGTAGAGCTGTAATTAGGGTTCATTCCAGAATTTAAAGAAAGTTGCACAACTAGACCGAAGAATATCACATCATGAGCCAAGCTCGTTCCACCGGTTAGCTAGAGGTAAAGCTATTTATAAAGTTATACCACCACTTCTACGGGTATATCTTTATGTTTGGGTAATTTATATAATAGTGTACATGCCCAGTGTTTCCTGAGATACGAGTAACTAGCTGAGTAATGATTGCAATTTTAATCGCAGCAATCGTGCCAAATTTCAACATCGTTTGGCTAGACATTTATTTTTGCAATCCGCATGTAAAACCTGTGTTCAATAATCATCATCACACCAGATTGGAAACTTGATACGCTATATAGGTACAGCTTACATTCTCTATCTAGATCCAAAAATATCCGGAGAAAAGTTAATCTTAAGCCGCGGCTCCGCTTGCATTTTCATCACACAAAAACATACAAACGAAATGAGAACCTCCTCATTTTTTAAGTCGTTTAAAAACGGTGTTGCAACCATCCACTCTGAAACTCCGCTCTTTGTTTAAAACATGTTCTCAAAAACTTTCTTATATTATTATTTAACCTTAATATTAAACTATTTTTTAACGAATGCGATAGTAGGTTTTAGCAGCTAGTACAAAAACAAATCCCACACAAACAAATTGATTGGTCTAAAAACATGTATGTCACCGGTCACGCGCTTCACGCACACATCAACTGCGTACACACGAGTACCTGCGTACATCGAGTGAGGTCCGTCGCAATGCAAACGCACCTAGATGCAATGAACTGAAGATAAAAAGTGAAAGAGATAACAGCCGCGGGCGCTGCGCCGGCGCCGGTGCCCGCCGCCGCTAACGGTCCGGACCTTACAAGTTTAGCCATTGTAGGAGACGATGCTATTATTAAATCAGGCTCCGAGGAGCCAGTCTAAGAACTTTTATGGCATCCACGCATAAAACGCGCTGGCATGGGATAAAAAGCAACCTATTAATATCTACTCTACACTAGCTAGGGGAACCGCGCGCAAAACGATCCCCGTTAAGAGTTGAAGGATTTTAAATTTTATCTATCACACTATATTATGATACATAGTATATATTATAAATAAAAGTAATTACTATCTCTTCCTAAATATTTTATAGTTTTTCGACCACTGATCTTCGCATTTCATTTGTGGCTTTATCACCAACTTCGAAAAAAGGTGGAAGTCTTTACTAAGGTCAAATAATTTAAAAATAATCATGACCTAAAAAGTAGCCTCATCTTCTCGTTCTTTGAATTCAGTTAATAGGTACTGATTAAAATACTTAAGGATACCGAGAGCTTTTAATATCAAGCTTTTCTGGAGCTTATAAGTATAATTTTACCTCTAGGGTCTATTTTAAACTACTCTCCCCGTAGATTAGCACTATATGGGCATACGAGTAGACTCTACTACTTACTTGTGGTTATTTTTATAGAAATGAGGAATAGCTAGCTATTCATGCGTCCGTTTCTTTTTTGCTGCTATTGTAGATCGTGGCTTGAACCTTTAACAGAAATAAGCCTTTGATATATCGTTTTAAACTGTTCTGTACACTAGCTGTGTGCAATAATTAGTCGTTAATCATGAAATATATATTTAAATCTGTTACCAATTTTCTCAGGAAAAGGTGACCTTTAACTCTGATAGTCCAAAATATGAAAAATATTTTCCTAGAAAATAAACTTACTGCGTTTATTATGATAGGTAGAGAACGATTTGAACTCGAAGAAAGAAGTTACTTATTCCAATTTTTATAAGGTATGTGCTTGGGGTATGTGATACCTTTTTGTGATGGAAAACCATAATTATTATTTTGACCAATTTCTATTTCTACTGGAGGATTGGTTATTTTGAGAAAAATAAAGAAATATTAATCATAATTATAACCTTTGCCCCTTTAGGTAGTACGAGTATTTGAGTTCTCCTAATCACCATGCCAACGTGCTAAAATTAAAATGTGCCTTATCTGCGACGCCAACCTTGGCAAACATCACATTAAAGCTCATGAAGGATGCAGTAACACTTGAACCAATTACTCCATAGCTACTTACCATAGCAATGATAATTATAATGGCGCCAACCTCTCTTTTTTACGTTATTATTGAAATAACACAAACACATTAAGAACAGATTAGAAGAGCAAAAAAGGAAGATTTTGATAAAAATTCGACAGATAATATGGTGATGTATGAAATATTTCCATAGATGGCAATACATTATGAATATAAAATGGAAACTTTAATAGTTATTATTGAGCCCTAACTAAAGCTTTACGATTCTTATTTCTAGGAATCCACTTAAGCTAACGCTGACGTCAACGAAGTTATTTATAAAACGTAATAAGTAGTACATTGCTCAATTTAATTCTACAAATACCTACCTATCAAAGACCGAGTTCATGGATATTGATGAATATCATAAACACAGACCTTCTCGAACTTTCCAGACTTGTTTCGCGCTGATGTCCCGCAGAGGGCGAAGTTTGTGTCAATCAATCTGTAACAAACAAAACAAAAACAACTGAATTGCAAATATAATTCAGATAGTAGGTATATCGAGGGCGATGTTAATCAAAGATCCGTTATTTGAGGATAGTAGGTATACGATGCCTCTGGTTTTTTCCAGTTGGATTGATTGTGTCAATGCGGCCGAGGAGCGCGCGAGAGCACTCGTGGGGGCACAGAAAGCGCCCACTTGCTCAAACAAACAATTCGCGAAGGCCCGCGGACGATCTTGTTTACCTCTAAGTGCGAGTTATGACCAACCACACATTTGGCTGAACTAACATGATTTATGAATCATTAACATTTTTATTACATCGTTTAGGTGGTTAACATGTTTTGCAGTTATCGGCTCTTTTGTTGCAACTTTTTTCTTTTTAACCGGTTTATTTATTTTTAGAAGCGTCATTACTCATTGAGGGTGAGGTGCCTGCCCTGCTGTGGTCGTATCGTATTTTACTCGTACTTATTTTACCTTTTAAATTAGTCTGGATGAAGGAGTTAACTAATTGCATCAATAATTATTTACCAGTTATCCTTTAAATCCATTTGTATCATTATGACTCTATCAATCTTAGCCGTTACGAGATATCGCCATAATTTAGAACAATTTACAATCGTGAATATCTGAATCACCAACCAAATTGTGTAAAGGCAAAAATTAAACATTTTAGTAAATAGTGACGACGTACTTCTAGCTAAGCACTGTGACATCTCATACGGTTTTAATAGAATCCATTTTGCAGCAAAAATATGTGCCCCGATACGCCGTAGACTGTAGTACAAGTTGGTAGCTGTCGAAGGAAGTGAGGGACGCGTTACAAAACGATCGGACATCATGCGGCTGTCAATAGACATATAGAATTGGTATTGGTTGGTATTGTGCGGCATTGTGGCACCAGACTGATGGCCCCTCCGCCCGCCGCACACTACAATGACCACACAAGATCACACGCCACCGGAAAATGCAAGTACTACCGTCCTATTACATCGTCAATCATCCTCCGACATACAATGTAGCGGGCTACATCTTCATATGGATCTGGAAACGTCTTGAAAATACATTATCAGGACTTCATCCTACTTATTACACTCGTGGTAAAGTAGGTAACTAAATGTTAACCACAAATAATGGTCAATTGTTGTCCCTGCAATAATTTTAAAATATTCTTATGATGTTTCATAAAAAAGTAAGTTTATAGTTAAGTATTCTCAATTTCTCAAGTAAATGACCATTTTAAGTTTTTGTCAGTCCTGGCCAGTCTTGACACAAGTTTTTAGCTGAGCTACATTGACACTTCAAGATTTTATTTACTTTATTCGTTATATTTGCGGTCACGTGATCGCGTTCACTGCAAAAGAGTTCAAGGAAAACAACTGTACAACCAAATTCTTCAAAAATACGGCGTTGAACATAATATTAAACTTTGTACTGCCCAATTAAATTGTATAACGACTAAAAATTAGTGGTCTTTGACAGTATCTTTCTTATCTCGGACTGAGCCAGGTTACCTTTTCATCAATCGTATGGGTTGTTGTAACTTATAAGTTCTGATGTTCTGACTGCTTCTTTAGGCGCCTGATAAGTCCTGATGTCAACTTTGGCGCCATTGGCATCTGACGACTTAGTATAAATGGACCAACGTGCTTTCTAAAGACGAAAATCATAATTATTTTTGGACAATTCGGTTGATTCAATTGTTCAAAGTGATTTCTTTGCAAACTTTCTAAGAAAGGACAGAAACGGATGGGCGATTCTTCTGGTGTTTTAGATGTCAATAAGCGATGGTTACTACATTGCTAACCACCAGGTAACCCACAAGGCCGCTTGCTCCCCTCTTTGGTCTGTAAAAATGTGTAGGTTGGCAAGTTCTAGGGCAATATCTATGTTACAAGGAACTAAAATGCCTTTATAACTAGGATTCCTATAGTAGACTTTAACCTGAGCATTTCCCGGGAGCGTAATCCCTCCATAACTTGGACGAATTAACCCTCCATAATGTAGATCCGTTCATGAAAAAAATTAAAGTTGCGGCCAAAGTTGCATAAAATCATGAAATTAACAACAATTTAATATGCTTTAATATACCTACAGGAAAAAACATGCGATAATGGCGAAGAGGTTTTTAAATTTGTCAGATAACACAGAAATACCTAGATACAAATCAACCAAAATAAAACAAACAAACCTGTTCAGCAAAAAAGGTAAAGGTATTGTAACAGCTGAGAGCTTCCTTCAATTGTTCACCAGTGTAGATACACAATAGAAATACATTTTAATTTATTTAATGAGATAAAGTTATTAATGAAGATTAAATGCATTTCATTGGATCTTACAGGAATCAATATTTCATTGTTTACTTTTTATTACTAACCCATTTCTTTCTCTGATTTTTTCTTTAACTACTCAACTTTCGCTCCATCTAAATCCACCTACCTAAAATCGATCGTGGTAATCGATTTTTAATTAGATAATCTTCCATGTCACTTGTCAATTAGTACTCTGCCGAAAACATTATCAAAATGACTAACGCCAATAGCATATGAAGTATTGATTAGTAATAGGTATTTACTACTAGTGAATACCCGAACTAGCAGAGATGGTCTAATTAACAAGGCTGTAAGGGGTATGAGACGCAGCGGAGAAGAAGACCACAGTACCATCACAGTGTTGTTAGTCGCTTCATATAAACTAACAGCAGCACGCGGCACTCAGTAGGACGACAGTTTGCGTTTGCTTCGCACATAGCTCGTGAGCGCACGCGCGAACACCGCACGGCGACTGCGCCTCGACAGTGGTTACAGTATTACAATAAAAATGTTGATCTGTTAAATTAATTTGAGTGTTTAAAATAGACAGTTACAGTTTTGTTAATAGTTTATTGTTTGTAATTAAAAAAAAACTGACAAAATGGTTAGTGGAAAGGATCCCAGCGACCTGAAAAAGATTCCGCCGAAGGAGCGGGAAAAGAAAACCAACAACTACATGCGCGCGAATTTTCTGTCGCGGTCATGGTTCGTGTGGATGATGCCGACGTTCTGGAGAGGGTTCAAGCGAGACCTGTACGATGCTGACCTCACCAAGCCTAAAGACAACCACCTCTCTGACAAACTAGGAGATCGCCTGGAAAAGTAAGTGAAGCTTTTTGTAAATAACGCAATAAATGTTCATGATAGAGACATTTTTGAAAGAATCTTCTCTGAAATTGAATAATAATTTTAATGTAAAATTAAATAATTTTAAAATAACTGTAATACGTTTTCGCATATTTTAAAATTAATTTTACTAAATACAAGAATTTAATTGGGAAGATACTACATCATTTTGACTGACCTTTAACTTTTCAAGGCAGTATGCGCAAATAAAATGACAACTTGAACAGTAAGTTTGCTTATTATGGATGTAGAATACCTGAGACACTGCCTGAAGGCATAATATTCTCACACAACTATCTTAGAATTTTCCAAACAATTTCGCATATCCCTTCACTGAAAGAATCCTTCTACAATAAAGATAAATATTTTCGAGGGTGGGTAATCAGTCGTATAATTTTAAAACTTGCAGAACCGGTTAAATGCAACCAGCAGTTAATTTCCAGCATACAATTAGGTATAATATCCGCCAATATACAGTGTGAGTCACGTTAAAGTGTACATATGAAAATAGATGAAACTAGACCTATTTTTATCGACAAAAAAGAGGTCAAAAATTTTATGAGTTTTTTTTTTAATTTTTTATAGAATTTTTTTTCTTCCAATTACTTATTGTAAAGAAAACGTAATAACTTTTAAACTAAGCGGTATATCCTGATAAAATAAAAACAGTAATAATGCTTAATAACAGGCAATACTAAAAAAATACATAAAATACACAAAAAAGGCCAACAAATAATAAAAAATGATACTTTTTGAAAAAAATCTGCTTTTAAATTCGTGTTTTTTTTGTTATTTGATAAATTTCTCCAAAAAATGCCCCTATAACCGGTGGTTTTTATTACTTTGTATTATTCTATATCGTATTACCTTCGTAAAACCAAAAATCGCATGTCTCTATCCCTATCACAACGTTTGCAATGATCGTTTGAACTAAGCCTTTCCGGGCGCGCCATTCAACGTTTCGTTAACAACGAAACTGAAAATGGCTCTAGATTTGTGATTTTGATAAAGACAAGTTAGATTTCAAATAAAAACAAAAGATTTCGAAGTAAAATAAGCATTTTAGTTAAAATTAAAATTGTCTCTACATGTAGCGGAGAATAATGTTGTGGCAGGCCTTTGTTCAAACGATCATAGCAAATGTTGTGATAGGGATAGAGACATGCGATTTTTGATTTTACAAAGATAATACGATAGAGAATAATAAAAAGTAATAAAAACCACATGTTATAGGGGCATTTTTTGGAGAAATTTATCAAATAACCAAAAAAAACACGAATTTAAAAGCAGATTTTTTTCAAAAAGTATCATTTTTTATTATTTGTTGGCCTTTTTGTGTATTTTATGTATTTTTTTAGTATCGCCTGTTATTTAGCATTATTACGGTTTTTATTTTATCAGGATATACAGCTTAGTTTAAAAGTTATTACGTTTTCTTTACAATAAGTAATTGGAAGAAAAGAAATTCTATAAAAAATTAAAAAAAAATCTCAAAAAAATTTTGACCTCTTTTTTGTCGATAAAAATAGGTCTAGTTTTATCTATTTTCATATGTACACTTTAACGTGACTCACACTGTATACCAAAACTGGTTCAATATATTTTCAAAGATACCTGTAATTTATCAAACTTTCATTTACGTAGCTATGTAAGTGTAAGTGATTCGGGTACGTAGCTTAGGGTGGAAAAATACTAACTCCTGCATAACCTGCTGAGTACTTGTGAGTATGTAATAATTATAATAGTACTAGTAATAATGCCTTCGACTTCGTATGCGTAGAAATCGTTTCCAAACAAGCAACAGTAATCTTTTTTATCTTGTTAGGATTCCGTACTCTCTTGAAAACGCGTAAACGTAAAGACGAACATTCTAAAAACTATATTTTTAGACTCTACTAAATACACTCGAGCTTTTATTATGGGCATAGCAAACGCATGGTGCTTGTAATATATTTTGCAAATAAACTTATAAATCACTATATACATAGAGTCACAAGCACAGCTCCTATCATCATATCGAGTGTACTTGTAATGTACCCACTTGCATACTTGGGTATGTCCCACTTTTTAACATTGGAGAGCCAGTAGAGTGCGTCATGTGACCAGAATTCAAAACCAGATTTTACCTGTCTTAATTTTGACAAGTAAACATCGATGATAGAAATATGACCCCAATTAATAAGCTGACTTATTATTTTGTTCAGGCGTGATCGTGAGAATTACAATAAAGTTCAAGCCTTTGTGTAATTAACAAGTTCTTTTTCAAACAACGGAAATTTTATACTATAAAATAATTATCATGAATAAAATACAAAAAGTACCGTTTAAAACTAGGTAATTTGTGTTAAATATCTTGTAGATACATAATCATTGTTAAAAAATTTATTAAACATAAAATCCATAAAACGCTTAGTGCTTTTATGACCCACGACGTCATATTAAACGACAAAGCTTTTATAAACCTATTGGTTACTGTAACTAGATTTAATATTTATGCTTTATTCGCCAATAAATATGTCACAATCGTATTCTTATGGGTGCCATTCCACCGGTATTGAGGCTGACCAGTAAACTTCTGAGTAAGCAGGTATAAATAATTAATTTAGCTTCTTAAGAAAACGTTCCTAAGCACTACGAGGAAATAAGACATTAACCATATAATTGTAAGTACGCTGTAGGGAAACTTAATCAATTTAAATCATATGCGAACATTAGAATGGGTACATGACGCTAGCTTTATTATAAAATCACAGTGAAGCCTGTATTATGATACAATCAAAACGATTAAAACTCAAGAAAATATGTTTAATGCCTTTTATGTAATTACAAGACAGAATCTATGCTTGAAATGTTAAACTTTAATACGTACGAGTAAAAAGAGCCTGAGAGCCTACTCGTATTAAACTTTTTGTAGTAATTTAACGCATGTTAATGTTCGCTAGTGTGAATCGGGCTTTAATTTCAATTATCTTTTTACATCACGAGAACAACGACGGGTTAAAATGAGGATAATTTTACTTAAAAATAGAAGTCCATTATTCTTATTTATAAATAACCATTTTTCCATTAAATAACTTCTTCTATCTATTAGAAGTAGGAATTAATCTTAAAAATACATAAACTACATAAACATTTATTATGAGTCATTCTAAATCACATCCGATCTGTGGTTAATTAACAAAATTGAGTGATAACTTTACGAAATATTCTTGAAAGAGATTATCAGCTCTCGTCTAGCCTATAATTATGTTTGATATTACTGTGCCTATGTACAGTTAGCGTTAAATATTTCGTAACACCCAAAGACCCAAAGACGTGTTTTGAACTTATTGGCTACTTTGGATGTCACGAACTATTTGACGATGTCTGTACTCAGATACTATTATAGAAAACAAGACTTTAATATAATTTGATTCTGATTAGTACCCGCGTGTTTGACTGATTGATTATTACCCGCCTAATCATAGACCAACTTTATAGACAAAGGTATTTTAAGGTCGTAACTACCAACCACCAGTTCTCATTGAACACTCATGATTGTCCTGGTAAATAATCATAAAAATCTTATGATTGCATGGTTGTATATCCTTATGTATTATTATCCAATGCTCAATTGATAATCGTATCTAGATTTGTTTCAACTTTAATCATATATTCGTTATAGGTAACTATTTGTAAACAGGTAGAGTCTAATATCTTTTACAAAATTGGACGCAAAAATAGGGTCTGAAGAGACTATTACAGACTCTGAAACAGCAATGTACTAAATGTATTCTCCCAAATATGAGTAAGTACTTAATAACCAGTAATCTAACTAAAATGTAAGTGCAAGTTGCTTAATGATAAGCCCTAACTCAGTACTTACATTACAAATTGCAATAAGTTAATCCTTCTGGTCGTTAGAGTCCATATTTAGTTATGAAAGTTAAGATAATTACATGTGTACTTATTACTACTAGCTACTAGATACATTCACCCTACAGCTAGGCGTAGAAAGCTGGCGCCATGCTAGGGTTCCACTAAAGCTTGTATGTAAACCGATTTCTACATTAACTTTTAAAAAAATAAAACCGACTTCAAATGCGTGAACACAAAAAAAACTAAAAATTAAAAATATTGCGTATGAAAAAGTTCATCCCCAATTTTCCACCCTTGGGGGTGAAATATTTTCTTCAAATTCGCATGAAACCACCCTTTTGATAATACCTATTCAACAAAAAAATAATCGTTTAAATTGATTTATAATCGGCGGAGATATTGCGTATAAAAAAGTTCATCCCCAATTTTCCACCCTTGGGGGTTGTTTTTTCTATTATTAAATTTAAATGGGACCACCCTTGAGGTATTACCTATACGCCGAAAAAAGATTTGTTCAAATCGGTTCATAATTGACGCAGTTATCGCGTAACAAACATAGAAAAAAAAAAACATACGGGTCGAATTGAGAACCTCCTCCTTTTTTTTTGAAGTCGGTTGAAAATAAAATTAATGTTTATTTATCTAGAGTTCCATAGCCAAGGGTTTCAACGGGTCCCTGTTAATGTAAACTTCACTGTAGCTGTCTTTCTTCTCTGGTAGTTCTCAGTTAGAATTTTCACACGTGCTTAGCCGAACAGATCACACAAAACTATAATCGATATAAGGCAACACAGCTTCGATTTTTAACGCGGTTATCGCGAAGCGCTAGGAATAGCACAGTCATTAGCTCGGAATGCTGAAATCTATTTTCGGAGTCAGGTAATCCGTCGGCTGTGCAGCCTCCCTAGATTTATCTTGTGCCGTCACAGGCAAGTTATTTGCGAGACTCCACCGGTAATGAGCAAGTAACGATAATGACGCCGGAGTATGCGGCTAGTCTGAATCGCCAGGATGTTTACAAATTGGCTTAGGATTTGCCATACTGGATGCGTTCTGCGGTCAGGTAAAGTGAACACAGCCATGTATGAATAACATTTTGTGTTGATGGGAGCAAAGAA